TCCCACCTTCTACACCTTGATAAAGAGACCCTACACAGAAAAAATAAACTATTTAAATCAACTAAATTTTGCGTTCATTGAAATAAATATAATTTTGATATTGTCCAAGTACATGTGTATTTGAATGAATCTAATAATACTGTTGTCATTGAAAGGCTTATATTAACTTGTACCAATTATATATACCGGGTGTTTTTGAAAACCCGCTCACCCCTATAACTTTTTTATTTTTTCAAATAAACAAATGAAATTTGGTTTGTTTATTTATGACCCGGATGTGCATTATTTGACGTATTCAATATTTTACTCTATCACTTCCGGTTTAACCGGAAGTGACACTAACTTCCTTATTTTAAATGAGACGCCAGGTAAATTTTTCCTCATTTCAATAGAAAACTACTAGCTGGGGAGCTGGCGTCAAAAACATGCAAGAGTTTTCGCAAGGCGGATATTTTCAAAATAGGTCGTACTTTAGTGCTAGAATGCTAGTGTACAGTCAGCAGTCACAGTTCCGGGACAGCTGGCTCTGGGACGCGGGCAAAGTTGTAATTTTAAGAAGCATCTAAACTGTTTTCTCAAAGCTCAAAATTTATAGAAATTTTGCACATTATCTGTTTGAAGGTCACAGATAACGTATATAAATCGTCAGACGTCTAGTTCGTTGCAAAAAGGGGGTCAGACGTCCTCAAAGTTCTTATTTTATGGCATTTTCTTCAAATATATTTGTCAAATACCTGCAAAAATATATTTTGACAGGACACCGAAGAAAATGTCATAAAATAAGAACTTTGAGGACGTCTGACTCCCCTTTTTGCAAGGAACTAGACGTCTGACGATTTACATACGTTATCTGTGACCTTCAAACAGATAATGTGCAAAATTTCTATAAATTTTGAGCTTTGAGAAAACAGTTTAGATGCTTCTTAAAATTACAACTTTGCCCGCGTCCCAGAGCCAGCTGTCCCGGAACTGTGAGTGCTGACTGTACACTAGCATTCTAGCACTAAAGTACGACCTATTTTGAAAATATCCGCCTTGCGAAAATACTTGCATGTTTTTGGCGCCACCTCCTGGACTATACATTACGAGTACAATGACACCTCATTTGTCACTTTTTGACATTTCACCTCCAAATTATTTAAAATTTTACTTTTTAATCTAGAGCGCCATGAATAAGTTAAAATACTTAATTTGGCTCCTAGGAACATGGGAAAATTTGTTTTGAGCTTATTTTGAATTTTATATCCTCTAAAGGCTCATTTAAAGTTAGTTGCAGCGCATTTTTGGAATTATATCAATTTTTTCAAATGGAAAGGGTATGGCTCATCAGCATATTCCGAGAGAGCATTTTCTAACAAACAATTCAGTACCACACAATCGCCAGTTTATTCAAATATTGAACTAAAATTTTCCAAAAATATTTGGAATGCTAGAAAAATTCTTAATTTGAGTGATGAACTAGCGATTGTGTGGTACTGAATTACTCGTTAGAAAACGCTCTTTTGGAACATGCTCATAAGCCATACCCTTTCTATTTGAAAAAACTGAGATAATTCTAAAAATGCGCTTCTACTATCTTCAAATGAGTCTGTAGAGGATATAAAATACAAAATAAGATCAAAACAAATTTTCCCATGTTCCTAGGAGCAAAATTAAGCATTTTGACTTATTCATGGTGCTCTAGATTTAAAAGTAAAAATTTAAATAATTTGGTAATGAAATGTCAAAAAGTGACAAATGAGGTGTCATTGTACTCGTAATGTAGTTTTCTATTAAAATGAGGAAAAATATACCTAGCGTCTCATTTAAAAAAAGAAAGTTAGGGTCACTTCCGGTCAAACCAGAAGTGATAGTAAAAAATTAAATACGTCAAATAATGCACATCCGGGTCATAATTAAACACACCAAATTTCATTTGTTTATCTGGAAAAATAAAAAAGTTATAGGGGTGAGCGAGTTTTGAAAAACACCCGGTATATTTACCAGCAACACATTACTTCCAGGTAGAGTGGTAAGTCAAGTAAATTCGTGCTTGGTTCAAATATCTTAGAAATGTTGATTAAATACAAAATATTTCAGTTAAATTTCTGTATAGTTGAACCAAATTATTACAACTTTGAGTCCAATATCATAAACTTGCTTGAAAACTACCATTTTTTCTTGTAATCATTTAAATAGTTGAGTTGATTAGTCTATATGGTTGAACTGATAAATTAATTTTAATCATGTAAATAAATAATCTTGATATAGGTACAGGTTTTTGGAAAATATAATCCCACATGTCCAAAAGACCTTCAACATTTATCAAGTTCCTTAGGTACTTGATAAAAATTGAAGGTATTTTGGACATGTGGGGTTATATTTTCCAAAAACCTGTACCTATATATTGGACAAGATTATTTATTTACATCAATAATAGTTATTTTTGTATCTAGTGCGCGAAATGCTACTTTGGTGATTGAGATCTGATTTTTTTAACGAGGCGCAGCCGAGTTAAAAAAATAGTCGAGATCACCAAAGTATTTCGCGCCCGAGTTGCTAACAATATTTTTTCTACAACTCCATTTAAATATCAATCCAAAAATTGCATTTTCTATCAAAGGTAGGTAAATTTCAATTATTTTTGATTTCCTGACAGGTATGTGTCACCATGATTTTACGCACTAGTGTGCGAAATAGCTAGTTCGCGCACGGCGTCATGGGAACGTTAAAAAATCGATACCTGGGAAAAAAAAGTGTCACTTCGCAAACTGTCATGAGTGTGCGAACATCATCATTTTTTGACAGTTGTAGAAAAAATTAATTAATCAGTTCAACCATATAGAATAATTAACTGAGATTTTGTTATATTTTCAACTCAAAAGCAATTTAAGATTCGGAGGGAACCTCGGAGGGGACAGGTTAGTAAAGTGGAGAATAAATAAAAAACATAAATGAGAAAAATAATATATTTTCATAAACACCCTTTCCAGTAACAAAAAATATAAGAAAAAGCATACCTATAAGTAAGATAAACTCAAAATTTTTTCACAACTGAAAAAACAACGCACTAAAGCTAACTTAAGTAGATACAATCAAAACTGCATTTAGTTGATTCAAATATACCAACTATTGAATTTTCTATTTTAAAAGATCTGCATGCCTCGAGGTAACAGGATGATGTATAATCGCCATTTTTATCTATAAGAAAATACATTACTGAATCGAGGCATTAATAAATGGAAACTGATATTCAAAAAAGTACCTATATGAAAAAATCATGTAGGTAATATTACCACAAAATAAATAACTATTTATTTTGTGCCTATACTAGCTGTACTACTAATATAAAACCTTATTAGATGAATAGATGTAGTTTACATAATGTAGATACTTACACTTAAAATTTGAACTCAAAAAATGAGTTAGACTGTTCTCAAACAACCACACTTCAATGAACCTTGTGAACTCACGAGTAGCAACTTGCGTCTGCCAAATAAACTATAAAGGAAAAAGGACTAAACTAGCCTAGCCAGCCGGAGATGCTGGAATAATTCTATTTCGGGTTCGGCTATCTGGACTCTAGAAAGAATCCCACACGACTAGATAGAGATAGGATCCAACACGAAGGGTTGGTACCTATTCTCAATCAGGGAATCATTAGTAATTAGGTTATTGGAACATAAACGTATGGTGTTGGGTCAAATGTTTAAAATAGGATTTGAGCCATTAATTGATTGTCTCAGATTATCGTCGTATTATTTGCGATAGTTTCAGCCATTAGGGCAAGCAAATGATAATTTAGGCTCAAGAATATAATTTATTTCATCGAAGCAAATATCTATTTAACTTAATGGTACATATATTTATTCAACTTACTTGATAATATAGAGATTTAAAATATTTGGTTCAACTATTTTAAATTTTGAGTTAATTATATATTGGTTAAATAAATCAAAAAATTAATTGAATTATGCATAATTGATTAACTTAAATAAAGCTTAGTCAATTTAAATATGTATCATCTTTTCCCAATCAAATATGGGTCAAATGCACCATTTATTTGAATTTTGGTGGTGCATTTTTTTCTATGTACTCAATAAACCCTAAAAGTTAGAAGTCCCTCCAATTGCTTGGTTGGTTGATGGTACTCTATAGACTTTGGTACACTCTTTAACAAAGTGCATTTTTTACGATTTGATTTCAAGATAATTTGAAAAAATTAGGTACCTACGTATTCATTTTTGTAATTAGAAAAATCAGGCTTTCTGACGATGACAAAAGATACAGAGTGTTTCATTGAAAATAAGGCAGTAATTTTATTTAAAAAAATCGCATGTCGGTAAAACCAAATTTCAGTTTTAGGATTTGGCAATACATACCGTGAAAAAAAGTTTTAAAAAATCTTATTCCCCTAGAACAATCCGCATCTCGTTATCTGTCTCGTTGTCGACATTATATTTAACTGCAAAATGTGTCAGTTTATCTAAGGACACCCTGTATTTGAAGTTGGTACATCAATTTTCATAAGAAGTTACTCTACATTAATTGTCCAAAATGTTCTGATCTACTCCTAATAATCTTAAAACTCTATTTTAGAGTAATCCTGCTACACTCAAGTGAAGATTATGAGAGTATGGGATCAGAGGAAATAGACACATAAGAAATTAAATTTGATGTGTTATATATTTTGAGCTCAATTTGATCCATCTGAAAACTTCGCGGCCACCCATTTAATAAACCCATTAACATGCGTTTAGAAGATCATGTCCATGTCCCTTAAAATAATCGATGATACTACATTAATTCTTTCTCCTTGGACATTTTTTTTTTCGTTCCTAAAATGTTACTTTGTCCTATAGAACCATCGAGGTTGAAACTTGATGTGAATTATTTATTTGTGATTATGATATTTATAGTACCTACAAATAGTTTCAAGGTCCTGGTTTCAATAAAAACCATAAAAATCACTCTTCGATTTGGGTGATTTATTGTATTGTTAATTAATAAAATATACTTACACCACTTTCTCAAGAAAGTACTGGACAATTTAACGCACAATTTTTCCCTGCCCTTCATTTTGAAGCCGGAAATGTATTAGAAAGAAAATAAAATAAGAAAATCGGTGCGGTATGATGACACTTTTCACTATTGTTTTTTTTTTTACACTGTATCAATCACAAACATTTTCTTCTTCCTTTTTTGAGTTTTTATTAAAATGGATTTTGCAGCTGAAAAAAATAAATAATTCTTCATTATCATTATTATTATTTTTTAAATGTGGGCTAAATGAAGGTTGCTCTATACAAAATAAACACATAATAATGTCCAATGATTAAGTATTTATGAATAATTTGTTTTGTTTACGTTTCTAATAAGTAAGATCTTACTAATTAGCAACGCGAGGTTTTACTAATTTAAATTACACATTTTTATTTTTGTCGCGCAGTAGGTACACAGATACTTACATATTTAACAAAAATTAACAGAATCCGGTACATACCTACTTAATTATATACGTTATTAATTGAAATAATAGTTCACCAATAATAACATACTATAGAATGGAAAGTAGACAAGCTACTCTGTATTTAGTCCAATAAAAAACATTTATTTCCTTGTTCGAGAAATGTGTGTTACGTTGTTTGTGTCATTTTTCTAAAACTAATTATTGACTTAAGTGAGGAGTAATTAAGGATAATACTAAGTTTGAAAAATGGACAATTTTTTAAATTACTATACTTGAAATTGACCTTTAAAAGATCACTAAAACAGCTCATATTGATTTGGTCGGGACCCAGAGTAAATTTATAATTTTTGTTTATTGAAACCTCAAAAACAAGGAGAGATGTTTTAATGTAAAACATGATGAGTATTGGTCTAATGAGTTCCTTTTTTTCGCCCAAAAAGCACAATATGCAAATTTTTCGAATCGTTTTAAAAAAAAATCTGGCTGTACAAAGTCATGATTATTACGAAATGATGCATACGAAATTAAAGGTTCCCATACACCACAAACACAATGTATTAATAAAATTTCATCATAACTAACATGTAATGTAAATATATACGTGGATGGACATTTCTTGGTTCAAAGTGAAATCTATAGGAAGTCTACGAAAGTAGGCTGAAGATATTAAAACATTGGTCTTGTTCACTCTGAATTTGAATATTCTAATTTTTTAAAAAAGTTTGGCATGGAATTTCCAAAACCATATATAAATAAAATAATTAAAAAGTCATAGTAACAATTTGATCAAGGTTATACGAAAAACATCTTCCAAAGTCATTTGAAAAAAATCGACAAGTTTTTAATTGGACGGGCCTTGATAGACTATGGCACCTATTAGCAAATTGTGGCATTGGACTTTGTTAATCGTTTTGAAAAATTTTACCGTAAAACTTGTTAAAGATTTGATATTCTATTTTTTTTTTCATTTATATATGGAATCGCTGAAAAGGTCAATGCGATTCTCAAATGCGGAATCCAAAATTGGCCATTCTCTAGCCTTCATTCAAAAAATATGAAAGAATTTCCTATAGGCACATCTGCTATAAATACAAAGTTAATGCAGTTTCATGACCTCCATTACATTAAAATGCAGCAATGCAAGGCGGCTGCATGACGGTTTCGCCTTCTCGATCATGTTTTCTTCATGCAAATGATTGCATTATGACGTACCTTATACATAATAAAGATTTTTGTTGCTTTTAACAAATATTAAACGCACACAGAGGTCGGAGACATTACAAGAAGGAATAACTGATGTGTTGTATAGAATTGTTAATTAAGGATTGCTATTTTAAGTTCTTGCAAAGTGATATTGTTCAAACTTTTGATAAGATGTTGAATCGGATTTTTCCTCCAAGGGTTTCTTCAAATATTTCTTCAGAATTGATATTGAACCAAAAGGAAGATGATTTCTAATCTCCAAAGCACCTATTGTCGAATCTGTAAATCAGTAAAATGGTCTCTATCTCTTTTCCATCCTTCATCCAGCGTACCAGTTTCGCACATGTGGTTATAAATTTTGCTCGGCACGATCATCATAATAAAGTTAAGGCAAGTCATGTATTTATTTTATGATGCTACCAATATTGTTACTTGTATCGAAAAATCTTGCTACTGTGTTTTTTTTTGTAAAAATTTTCTCGCATATTAAAATAACGTTGTTCATTCCTCTATAGGATGTCATTTAGGAATCTCAATATTTGAGATGCTTTCATCGTTTGACTTTTTGCTGTAGATTTCCAGAACTTAGTATTTCTGCTCCCAGATATTGGAAGTGATTCACTTGCTCAGAAATCTTCTGAGTTCTAGCTTAGAACTTTCCTCGATGAAAGTTAGCAGAATTGATGATTGATCTGATATCTGATGTTAAGACTGAGTCCTGAGAAGTCACATGTGACCTAGGGTACTAACAGATACTGGTATAAGTTTAAGTTTAGCATTACTTTTTTCAAAGACTTTGTATGTATATTACGGGTTGTTTGCTTCTTACATGTATACTTATATGCTATTCTGTAATATATTCCATTTCATTAATTTCATTTCATTTCATTCCATTCATTTCAAAGTTATATTTCTTGAAATAAAACAAGCCTGTTAGTTTCTATGATTCGCCAATAAGTTCGTTTTTTATTGCAGCATTGGAACAGGATATTGCGAATATCTCATCAAAGAAAAAAAGGAAAATAAATATAAGCAGGAAACAAAATGGATTAAAAAGATGATTTGTTAAGTAGGTACAGAAAGTTTTAGGACCAATCAAAATAGGTCATAACTAAAATGGGAAATATGCAGAATCAAAATACTAAGTTAATTGAAAAAGTTGAAATTTGAACGCAAAAATGTAATGGACTAGAAAGAATATTAAAGAACTTACTGAACCGAATTTTGGAAAAACTAGAATTATTAAGGATATTCAAAAAAATATAGAAGATCAGCTACTTGATGTTGAAAGTTAAAAAATAGGGATTAATGAACTTCAAAAAAATAAAGAATTGAATAAAGAAGTTGGAGACAGTCAAAAGGATAAAGAAGATTATGAAAGAAAAATTGAAGACTTGAGAGTCAATGTAATTAGGAATTTAAATTCATTAGAAAATAAAATATCAGAATCTTTCAGCAATGAATATAAAGAGAGAGAAAAGAAATTGAAAGAAGACTTTGAATTAAAGCTTAAGAAAATTTCTCATAATAATCAATTAGTGGCAGAGTTGAATTTGCAGCTAATAAATAAAGATAACGAGATTTAAAAAATCGTAAAGGAATTACAAGAGGTTCAAAGTAAATTAATGGAAAAAGATTGTCGTTATAAAGAGTAAAAAACTAATCACTTAGGACTAATTGAAGACAGTGATAAATTAAGAAAATATATAAATAAAGTCTCTGAAATTGGAAATGGTGACAAGAAAATGTATGAAGACAAAATTAATATAGATTAAAAGGCTGATATAGAAATTTTATTGAGACATTTAGAAAAAATATCTGAAGAGAAAGAAGCACAAAATTTACAATTGACAGAAGGAAATTTATATTTTGAGACACGTAATGTCAAATGGCTTCAAATGTTTAAATGAATGGAAGAAAAATTGAAAACTGTTGAAATAAACACTACAGAAGATAATTTACTAACAATAAAGCTACAAACTTTAGAAGAAGAAAAACAAACTTTATTGGAGAGCTTTGAAATGGAACGTAAATTATTCAACAAAATCCAGGAAGAACATAATGATTTAAAATTTAAATAAATAAGAATTGGAAAATAGAAATAAATTGTTAGAAGAAAAAATTGTTTAGCCTAAAAGATTTTTAACCGAACGTGGAAATAAATGAGCTTAAACTTGCTTTGGAACAAGACTTAAGCAAAACTCGAGAATCAATAGGAATTTTAGAAGAAAAACAAGAAATTAATAAAACCGAATGTAATTTTATACAAATAAAACTCCAATAACTTCAAAATGAGAAGGAAAATTTAATTAAAACATACCAATTACAGAAGAAAAAGTTTCAACGAAATTTTCACATAAAATACGAAGAATTTGAAAATCACACAGAAGATCTTAAACAAGAAAATGTTGAATTGGACAAAGGGAATTTAGAATTGAAGCAAATGAAGCAAATCAATGAAGAATTGAAGCAAATCAATGAAGAATTGACATTTAAAGTTAGAATTTCCGAAGAAAGACATGAAGTTTTGGAACTAGATAGAATTCATTGAAAGAAATTTTCTAAAATTTAAATTGTAAGAGCTTGAAGATTTCCACAAACCTTTGTAAAATGTTAATTAAAATTCTAATAAAGTCTGTTTTTTTTTTTAAAGATAAAAATCTAAATGACATTATGTTGGCAATACAATGTAAAATTGTCAATGCTTTCACATTTTGTATGTAGAAAAGGCTTGTGTTGCCAACATAGTTACTAAACTTTTGACTTGGGGAATTATCTTATTAAAAAAAAAAACAGACTTTATGTAGGAATTAATTGGAAGTTTATTAAAGAAATCTAAAATTAGTTGACATTCGTTGTCACAGTTATGGCGTTTCCGATTGGTAGATTCAGTGCGCACTCAGTGTATTTGCATCCTTTTAATCGATCTGTAGAAGAAAAAGATAGAAATAGAAAAAATTGCACTAGTTCCGCACTAGATCTACCAATCGGAAACGCCATTAGTTAACATATGTTTTCACCTATACTGGTATACTATCTAATTGGAGTATGTACAGTATGGCTATCAATACATTACTCCCCCCTTCAACACTTTAAGACACAAAAAAATAAATAAAATAAAATTAACAGTAAAGAGCATTTTACCACCACAAAAACTAGTCAAAATAAGCTGGCTTGAGTCTCTCAATAGAAACAGTATTAGCTTTTCCATTGATATAAATGGTGAAATATGTATCACTTTTATTTAAAATTTTAAATGATCCATCATAAGATGCTTGTAGTGATTTTTGACACAATCATTTCGAACGAAAACATGCGTGAAAAATGAAAGGTCTTTAGAAACAAATATTCCTTTTCTGTAATTCTTTCTCACAGGAAGAAACTTTAATTGCCTCATGAAACACTTGAACGGTTCAGCGAACATGAGTGACTCATAATTCTTCGTTTCCTCGAAAAAATCTCTAGGAAGTTTCAGAGTTGTCCCATAGACTAGTTCAGAAACTGTGCAGCTTAAGACCTCTTTAAGAGCTGTACGGATACCAAGTAAAACAAAAGGAAGAATATCAACCCATCAAGGATGATATGCTGTCGTTCGAATTTTACATGAGCCAAGTGTTTTTAAAAACTCCTTCCACAAAACTGACTCAAACTGAGATCCACGATCAGTTGTTATAGTAGAAGGTACACCAAATATTGAGATCCATCCAGCAATGAATGTTTAAGCTATAGAAGAAGCAGTGATATCGCTAATCGGAAAAGCTTCTGGCCAACCAGAGAAACAGTCAATACATGTGAGAATATAGGAGTATCCTTTTGAATAAGGTAACGGCCGATGATATCCAAATGTACATTTTCGAATCTCTTGGAAGAAGGACAGCAAGTTCCAATCTCTGGTTTTGTGTGTCTTATAACTTTATTCTTCTGACAACTTTGACAGTTGTGTACCCAAAGTTGGATATCTTTATTCATATTGGGCCAAATAAAGAGTGAACATATGAGGCGTTGAGTTGCTCTGATTCCTGGATGTGACAGTGAATGAGTTACCGTGAAAATGTTTTTCCGAAAAACTTTCGGAACGAACGGTCTTGGTGCGCCCAAGCTCATGTCACATAGAAGAGACTTGTTATAAAATGGAAGAAAAACCAATTCAAAAAATCAATGATGTGTCGTCAGAAGACATAAGTTTTGGTAGTTCTGTATCTACTGTTTGTGCTCCTCTGAAACTGTCAAAATCTATATCATCAAGTTATGAAAAATCTATCGAGTTAATTTCCATCCTTGATAAGACGTCTGCTACTACATTGTCCCTTCCCGCTATATGTCGAATATCTGAAGTGAAAGACGCGATGAAGCCAAAATGACGAATTTCTCTTGGATTGTAAGTATGTAAAGATAATGAAATGGCATAAATAATGGGTTTGTGGTCAGTTAGAATATGGAACTCACGCCCTTCAACAAAATATCGAAAATGGCGTATTGCTAAATAGATAGCCAACAATTATCCACCGAACGTACTATAAGTACCTGTATTCTGTGGGAGAGAGTTTTTTTGAAAAAAAACGAGATAGGACACCAATCATCACCAATAGCACCAACACAGTTGTCGGAAGTATCAACAACGATGTTAGTTTCAGCATTTTGTTTGGGAAAGTGTAACATGCATTGACTTGACAGAGCAAACTAGAGGTGTTTTTTCTCGCTTAAATTGGTTGAACCAGGTTGAACCTAATTCAAAACATTACATTTTCGCGTTGAACTAATGACGTCATGATAAAACTGTTTGAAAATATTTTGAAACGAGATTTCGCCTCGGTTCAAAAACAAACGCATGCGCAATAGTTGACTGTTTGTTGTTTATGTTTTTATTTGTGTTGTGTCTTTTGTAGCAGGTTATAGAATCATGAACAGAACACTTAAATTTTTTAAAAAATAGGAAATAGGCTATATGTAGTTAATTACCAGAAAAAAAAACAAACAAAAATTTTAGGTTATGTATGGTTAAATTCTTCTGGTTTGAAAATCTCATTTTTTCTCGAATGAAAGTAATGACGTCATTTTTAAACAGGTTCAAAACGGATTTCAAAAACATTTCGAACTGCTGGGGTCGAGAAAAAACACTTTTGATATCCTCAAACGAATTGACTAAATGTTCTGACCACTCAATTATTCTATTCTCATCTGCCTTAGACTTAGATGTCGCCAATAGCGAATTCAATGGTTGCAAAATTTTTGCACAATTTTGAATAAAACGATTGTAAAAATTATTTAACCCAAGAAATTTCCGCAAGGAGCGAATAGTCGTCGGGCGAACGAAAGTTTCAATAGCTTCAATTTTTTTTTCTAAAGGATGAATTCCTTTTGTGGTTATTTTATGACCCAAGAATTCAATCTCTGAGACAGCAAATTGACACTTTTCAATATTAGTGGATATACCATATTTGTTAAGTTGTTCCAGAAACAAACCAGACATATTCTTTGTGCTGCTCAATTGTCTCACTGGCAATTAAACAGTCATCCAAATATGTGAAGCAAAATGGAAGGTTATACGAGCTAATTTATTCATGAACCGTTGAAATATTTGAGCAGAATTTCTTAGCCCAAATGGCATACTAATATATTCGAACAATCCAAATGGAGTACAAATAGCTGTCTTTGGAATATCTGCTGGGTGAATTGGAATTTGATGATATGCTCGTACCAAATCTATTTTTGAAAAAAATTTCTTCCCTTGAAGCTGGAAACTGAAATCATGAATATGAGGAATGCCGTATCTATCAGGCTTCGTAATGTTATTCAGTGCCCTATAATCTTTGCAGGGTCTCCAACTTCCGTTTGATTTAGGAACCATATGTAATGGAGAAGACCAGTTGCTTGATGATGATCTGATAATTTTCAAGTTTCTCTGGTGATAATCTGCGAGGTTTTGAGAATACAAGTGGACTACTTGTTTCAATAAAATGTACAGTTTTATGTTTAAATTTTGAGGGTGTCTTGTCCTGCCTCGAAAGCTCTGGGTATTCGAATAAAATATGTCGGAAGTCAGTGGGAATTTCAGTCAAGACAATTGAACATTTCATTGACTTCACGTCTGATTGAGTACCTTTCGCAATTATTGACCTAGATGAACTAATGGCCATTTCCACCAACCATTTTAGGGGAGCCCTAACGATAAGTATTCCCTAAAATGACATTTTTACATGGAGAAATGTCAGTTTAAAGCATACCTATCGTTAGGGCTTCCCTAAATTAGTTAGTGGAAATGGCCATAAGTACCTATATTAGAATTATGCATACCTATCAATTAATAAATCAAAATATGTCAAAAAGTCTGCTCTAGGGATCGGATACTTGACATTTCCTATGATGAAATTTCATTCAAAAATGTCGTCTGTATCAAATTCAAGTTGCAAAAGTTTATCACCGAAAATTGAAATTTTAGATCCAGGTGCAGCAGAAATAAACGAAAACATATTTTCGTTAATGAAATCATGCGTTTTTGGTGGTAAAACACTTACTTCACTTCCAATATCAAACAAAAAACGAAATATTGTTGATGGAGTCTTTGACGAAAATTAGGCTACCACAAGGTTCTTTCGCAGCATAACAAGTCGCCCCTATTGCTTGCTGCTTCCCTCGTTTTCCTGCCATCTGCATGGCTGAACGTACTTCTTTGCCTTCTTCCAATAATTACTATAATACCAACAGATAGAGTTCTCTGTCGGACTTATTGAATTGCCTGATCTTTTGGGTTGTCTTGTAGATGATTCAACAAGTTTCTCCAACTCAGCTACTTCGTTTGATAGTTTGTCAAATTTTTCATTGAATCCCGATGATTTATTAATTCCATTTGTAGATATTGATGATTGCTGATCAAAAGATTTAAGAATATTGTCAGCCATTTTTGCAAGTTGTCTGATGTCTGAACTGTCCTTTAGAGCAAGTAACCCTATCTTGATATTTGGCGGAAGATAATGGAGGAACATTTCCTTCAGGAAGGTTTGATATAGGGCAGAAAATTTGTCTGTAAGTGATTGTATCTGACTCAGCATCCTTGCAGGTCGTTCTCCTTCAAACTTCCAATGCATAAGAAGTGGCATCCGCTCCGAGTCAGATAGAGTCGTTCTCTCAATGATTTCATTCTTAAAATCTTCATGAGTTCGAGAAGGTATTATCTACCAAAATATCTCTCAGATAGCTAGCAGTTTCAGGCGGCAAAGCAGAAATAATGTGATTATATTTGATCTTCGAGTCGGTAATACCATAGTTTAGAAAACTGCTTCAACTTGAACAAACCATAACACCGAATCATGGCTCCAAAACTGAGGTAGTTTTATGTAGAAGACAAAATCGTGCAACTTCGAAAAGAAAATGCAGCTCTTGAACAAGAACTCTCTAAACTTCAAGAATCTTCATGATGAATTAATTTATTCTCCAATAAAACTGCTGCCGAGTTTTGTAGATATACCTACAGTAGAAGCCCATTTACATAAGTTCCATTCTAGTATTCGTGGAACTCTCTACCCATCTATAAAACTGATGCAAATGATTTCTCTCTAAATACTTGCAATCTCTAAATTTCAGCTTTCCTGCTCATAAATTAATAAACCCTTATTTGAATAATTAGAAATAGAAATAGGCAAAACCTTATATAAACCAAATAAAACTTTAACAAACAAATAAATCAATATTTGCAAGCTAAAACTTGAAGAATAATTTCGGTTTTTTTGACTTTAAAACTTCAAATTTGAACTACTTAATTGGTCAGAAACAGACCCTTGAGCCAACTGTTTATAAGGAAATAAGAAAACCTTAAAATGAACTCAACAAAAATGTTCTCTCTTCATCACGCAATGGTGTGACGTAAACCAGTAAATTGTTCAAGATGTCAGCAACGGAATTGCTATAACTTTGACCCAAATTTCAAAATAAATATAGTGTTATTTAGCAATTAAAATCAAAAAACAAAAGTAGACTAAATGTAGAAAAAATTTTGAATATAAAGTTTCTAATATTTTAACAAAAACACAAAACTGTTCAGAATAAATTTGCAAGTTTGAGTAAATCCACTTGTTTCAAGTTGGATTTTGCATAACTTGTTTTTAAAATAATTTAATGTTTTTTAAAAAAGTTTAATTGAAGATTATGTAGGTATTTTTTGTGAGTTGTGATTTATATGTTTGTCTATCCAATTTTCTTGGAAACATTATGCAAATATTCAACTAAATAAATTTAAATTTTAAATTTTAATTGTCTTTTTGAAAGTTTCTTTTATGTATATCCGTTAAGCTTCTGTCATTTCAATTTATGTTCTTATGGATAATTAGAAATTTTATTATTATTAGCATATTTATCATAGACGTGTAAATGGTTTTCATAATAGTTTCGAAAGAACTGCAATTGAATAAGATTCATAGCAAACCTTCATTTATTAACCCACATTTTTAAATAATCCATTTCTTAATTAATTTGTCCCAATTAAATATATAGGTACTTAGTTGAAACAAATAATTAAAAATAATTCTTTAGGTACTCACATTTTAAATCTAATCAATATCCAAAAAAAAAAACAAGTCACTTAACTATGGGTACCACTTTTTTATGACACGGTTAAATAGATAAAAATCTTTCAACTATTTATGATGTTAAAGTAAAAAGTGCGTCGAGTACTACCGCGTCCGGTTAGTTGCTACCGCACAATGTTACACCTGATCGAGTAGGACAGGTACGACCGAAGAGTTAGTTGAGGTACCCCCTCCTTCAGCGATAGTGGGTAAATGGGTGTCAGTCAATGGTTCTTTGGCGCCTGAGTACCAGGGATAAGAAAAAAGTACCAACGATTATCACTGACATCACTAAATCATCATGCCCAGATTTCAAAAACCAAAAAATTCGTGTGAAGAATGTTTGTTTCTTCGGCAATTGTTGATATTTTTTTTATTCTTTCGAGAGAGCCAGTAGCTTTTATGATGGTCCCTTGATTTCTATGAAACCTTGGTTTGATCTCAGCACAAATGGGACAGGTGGCTGAAATTCTCTTGATATCGTCTAGTGATACAGTCTTGTTATACCAGGATGACAGAGAGAATTATGTAGATTATACAATGTTTTGTCACTAGAAGAAAGTAAAATCGCAGAAGATATTCTTGAAAATGTATCCACCTCGATATTTTGATTTCCACATCTGTATATAATATCATATATTTAAAAGATGATAGTTCCAGACGCAACCGCATTATTTTTCATTTTTGATTTTAGAATTACTAGTGAATTAAACATAAAAGCGACCGATTTCTGGTCAGTTACGAGCTTAAAGTAACGAACGATCAGAAAATGTCTCCATTTATGAAGTGCTTCCACTACAGCATAGGCTTTTTTTTCTACGGAAGAATGTCGCTGTTCCGATTTCGTCAATGTTCTAGAGAAAAACGCCACTGGTTTTCCAGACTGTATAAGTTGAGCAGCAAAAGCATATTCCGACGCCTCAGTTTCAACAGAGACAGTGGCTTCATCGTCAATGGAAATAACAACAGCGTTTTGTATATCAGTCTTCAACTGGTCTAATGTAGCAGCTTCACAAGCAGACAATGGAAACTTTTTATTTCGAATCAGTGGATGTATTTTCTCAGAAAACATATGAATGAATTTGGAATAATGGGCAAACATGCCTTGGACTCTCCTGAACGAAGCAGTATTAGCAGGTAGTGGCAACTGAATCAGTGGTTTAAGTCTGTCTATATCTGGTTTGATTGATTTTCGTTCTTTTGTATGCCCTAATTGCCCTAGTGTATTAATTTTAGTCATGCCAAAGTTGCATTTCTCTTTGTTAAGTGTCAGATTATATTTCTTCTTCTTCTAAAAATCGTTTAACATTTGTATCATGATGCTCTTTATTTTTACCACAGATCAAGAAATGGATATGTGTCTTCTAAATGTTTGAAAATGTTATTCATATTTCTCTGAAAATAAGCAACGCCATTAATCACTCCAAAAGGAATTCAAGTGAATTGGTAAAGATTTCCACATGCTACAAAGGCAGTGTATATACGTTCATGCTATAGAATTGGTATCTAGTGATATGCACCATGAAGATCTATCGAACTGAAATATTCATACTGAGAAATTTGGTTGACCATATCTTCAATCCTGGGTAACGGGTATGCATCCAAATGTGTATATCTATTTATGGTCAATGAGTAGTCTATACCTAACCATTTGCTTCTTATGATTTTCATTACTAGTCACTAGCACCTGGGCTCTCCATGGGGAATTGCTTAGCTCGATTATTTTCTCTTCTAAAAGTCTTTGCACTTCAGCATCAATGAATTTTAAATCAACTGTGGAGTATTTGCGAGATTTAATTGCAATAGGCTTACAATTTTCTGCCAAATGTTCGAATAATGGATATGGTTCTATCTTAGCGATAGTCAAATTACATATGGAGATCGGTGGTGTGCTTCCCTTGAAACTGAATACTACTCCTGAATGTTGTTTGAGAATATCATGTCCAATTGTAATATCAGTACAGACAGTACATAGTTCTTCTAGAATGTAAAGTCTGGTATTTTTATAGATATTGTCAAATATCTTAATATAAGCTTTGCAAAATCCACGTACCAAAGAGTTAAAATTTGAAGATGCCATTGTAACATTCAGTGTTGTAGGAAAAATTTTCAATTGGATGGAGTTATTTTGAACCAAAAATACACATAGAAAAAGTTTTTTTTTTTATAATTATAAGCTTCAATTTAGGTCGAATAGATTTTGATTGAGAAGAAGTGAAATAATGCAGAAAATGTCTAGAAAATACACTTTCAGTAAAATGTCACTCTGAAAATAATATGTAATTCAACAAATGTTGCTATTATTTAATTAAATTAAAGAGGTTTTTCTCAGTAAAAATTATTACACGTGCGTATGTTTCTACATAAATTTTTGACCAAGGACAATGGTGACGCAAAAAAAAGCTTCAGTCCATCAAGTTTGTACTTTATACTTTACTTTATCAAAGATCTACATTCATCATCAATGTTGAACATGTTTAAAATACAAAGCGAGGTTTTAATTGGATTTGTTGCGATATAAAAAAAAAAGTTGTTGAGGACAAAAACGAGCGAGTTATTCATCTCACGAATTCAGCAATTCTTATAATTTTCCATTTTCGTTATATTAGAAATGTTTAACATTTTAAAGTCATTTCGTTATTATTTCATTGAGCAACTTTTGCCCAGAAAGTTTCAATCATTTACGCACCAAAAGTTGACAATAATTAAAGCAATTTAACGTTATTGAATATTTTTTATGCCTAATTAGATACAAGATGCCCCCTTGACATCGATTTTTCTGCAAAATTTATTAAAAACCATAACGTAGAAGCATAACAAAACGTTAAATTAATTCTTACTTAACTTTAAAGTAAAATAATTGAAATTCTTGTTTATATGGAAGATTCCATTTATAGAATACTACTGGTAATATTACAACAAACCCTTCATCACAAGACATATTAATATTATAATTACCCTGACCATTACAATCGAAAACGATCTCTTAATGATAATTCATTTTGTATTTTAGCAAGACACTTTCACTTTGATAGTATTTTACCAGGCGGAATGGAAAAGTACCTAAACCATATCATTATTTGTGATTTAATTTATTAATAATAGGTATATAATAATCTGAAAAGAAATCTTAAAAATGTGAGATTTAAACGGTAATTAGTATCATTAAGACCGTGGTTTTTTCACATTACATTTGGGTACTAAATTAAGTACAAAAATACTTATTTAGGTACCTACACTTTTTTTTCTTAATGAACTTATTTATAAAATGTCATTCAACAATAACTAAGATTTACATATGAAAGTCTTCATTCTATGATCTGTGAAATTTAATTCAAACTGTTAAGTGACCCGAAGTACCTACCAGAACTAGGTAGGTAGATACTCGATATTCATTCAAATCTAACAACGACACACATTTTTTCAAATATGTAAATATAATTACACAGTGTGGTTTTTTGTCCAGGAATATAATAAATGAAAGTTGGTTTTCGGCCTATTTGGGCGTTATTTCGAAAATATCTAAATCAACACCCAAGATTGGACTATTGGACTCGATCTTGGAAGAAACTGGCAGATCTAGGACACCAAAGGACGTTCCTGCTGAGATCTCTCAATGAAGTCTTGAGAATGACTCGAAATGCTTTGAAACGTTGGTTGTTGATTAAGAAATTCTCGATAAACCGGAAACCGACTTCTAATCAACATATTCCTAAGTAGTGTATGATGGCCGGTTCTACGCCCTCCGACGCCTCCGTGACGGCTGCGCATGCGCCAATCAGGGCGTCGCGACGCCGTGACGTCATCAGTCAGCTGTCATCTGTCAATGTCATCTGTCAATGCCACCTGTCAATGTCAGTCACCTGTCAATGTCAGTGGTCTGTCAATGCCAGTCAGCTGTCAATGTCATCTAACCCAATCTACCTGAACTACTCCAACTTACCCGCTCTCTGCGCCATCTATAAACCCCGTATAACATTATACCTGTGTGTATTTTCTATATTTCTACATGTATTTATACAGATGAAAAAATACGTGAACATGCATAAATACATGAAGAAATATAAAGAAACAGATGGGCTTAAGAAAAAAAAAATACTAACCTCAAACAATTTTTTATTTAAAAACATACATTTTTTAAGACTCAACTATTTCAAAAAGCGATATTTGGTTTGGTTGTCCTACATCCTTCTGGTCTCTGTATATTATTGAATATTTTCCATCCGTAAACTGCTCAATATGATCTTCCAATGATTTGGTGGTACGTTTTGGAAGAAATACTGCCTTATCGTCAATTTCAATGAGAGTGCTCGGTCCGAATTTACTTTGGGCTTTTTTTTAGCAGAAAATATTGGGTACTTTCTACCAGGCTCCATGTCTTGTAATTTCACAAGTGTTTTTTGATCCTTGAAGAGGCAGGTCTCGTTGATTGATTTCAAATCCATATCTAAAAAATATTCTGTAGGTATTGATATTAGTATATAAAAGATTTACTTACTTGTTAAAAAAAAAATGTGTTTTGGTTTGGTCGTCCTACATCCTTCTGGCCTCTGTATATTATTGAATATTTTCCATCCATAAACTGCTCAATATGATCTTCCAATGATTTGGTGGTACGTTTTGGAAGAAACACTGCCTTATCGTCAAGTTCAATGAGGATACTCGGTCCGAATTTACTTTGGGTTTTTTTAGCAGAAAATATTGGGTACTTTCTGTCAGGCTCTATGTCTTGTAATTTCACAAGTGTTTTTTGATCCTTGAAGAAGCAGGTCTCGTTGATTGATTTCAAATCCATATCTAAAAAATATTCTGTAGGTATTGATATTAGTATATAAAAGATTTACTTACTTGTTAAAAAAAAAATGTGTTTTGGTTTGGTCGTCCTACATCCTTCTGGCCTCTGTATATTATTGAATATTTTCCATCCATAAACTGCTCAATATGATCTTCCAATGATTTGGTGGTACGTTTTGGAAGAAACACTGCCTTATCGTCAAGTTCAATGAGGATACTCGGTCCGAATTTACTTTGGGTTTTTTTAGCAGAAAATATTGGGTACTTTCTGTCAGGCTCTATGTCTTGTAATTTCACAAGTGTTTTTTGATCCTTGAAGAAGCAGGTCTCGTTGATTGATTTCAAATCCATATCTAAAAAATATTCTGTAGGTA